AAAAAAAAAAAAAAAAAAAAAAAAAAAAAAAAAGCATGATTTTTATAGACCTATAATGGTTGTGACAGTTCAGAAATCAAAGTTGGTCAATGGTGGACTCACACTTAAGTCATGATTCTTCAAAAGCTAATTCTAAACATATCACCACACAGCTCTTTCTAAAAAATCATCTGAACCAATGTACCTTATTAGTTTTTAAATGTATTCATTTCTAACGATGGACACTATTTAATTTCTCCAATGTGCCCAAATTTATCAGTGAGCTGTTATGATAAACAACCGGTGTGACCGTTTGTTACACAGTTTGCTTGCAGAGAAAGGAGAATGCTTCTGTTTATGTTCACTTGCATATTTTTCTCCATTTCTTGGAGTTATTCTTGACACAGAAAAGCTGGACATATCTAACACATGCAAGTCAGTGAATTTGGGACAAATGGTTACCTGTGAAATTATCACCATACTTTTTGTCATGGATTTACCCATTGATTACAAATGTTCTCTTCCACTCTTTCCTTTTTACTTGGGATAAGGACACTTAACACAGAAACCATCTTCCTAGCCATGCTTGATTTCATTGTGCACTAGAGAATGGAGTTCTTCTGGATGTGATTTTCCCTCCATGCGGAGAAGTTCCTGTCCTGGGCTGGGTCAGGCCATGGCAGATGACAGCTGGTCATCTTTCAACGGCCATCACCCTGTGATTCTGAGATGCTCATGGTGCCCAGAGTGGCTGTGGTGGGCAGTACTGCTGTACACATTGAGCTTGGTCCTTAACAGAGAGAAAGGTTTTAAATTATATTTCCCATTGCTTCTTGGCCTTTTGGCTAAGATCAAGTGTAAATTATATTTCCCCAAGCTGAATGAATGTTAGCGGTATCCACAATATTTGCCATTCATGTATTTCCATCTCCCAATCTATTCAATCAAGTTCACAGGCAATTTCTACTTTTTAAAAAACTAATTACAATTTTAAGTAATTTTTCATCATAATATATAGTGTGACTTTTCATTGAAAAATTATATTCCTTATATATCTAAATTTTTTTATGGGGACATTCAGGTACTTTGGATCGATTAAACAAAAGCAGGCATGATATGTGATTAGACTGGCATTGGGAGGAAGTGTGTACACCCTTAGCAACAGGCTGCAGGATTACAGTTTATTCCCATCACAATCCCTAAGTGCACACTAGTGAGGCATGTCATGTCCCCACTTCCACCCTTACATGTGTTCTTTGTTTTATCTTCAGCCCAGCATGGGCATTTGCATTGCCCCACTTTGTGAATGAGGAACCTGAGCTCAGCAGTGCTGTGAACTTTGTCTGAGTCACACAGCCCAACAAGAGGAGATGAGGTGTGAGCAGAGGCTCCTGGGCCTCTGGAAGAGTGCCCCACCTGTGACACAAGATGCAAAAGAAAAGAAAGTACAGGTTAGGCTTTCCCTCTTTGGGAGAGAGACCTTTCGCAAGTGATGAAAGATGAGGGATCTGTGAGGCAGGCTGTGCAGGCTCCCAGGCTTCCAAAAGCCTGAGCTCTGGTGGGGTGAAGGTGAAGGGCAGCTCATGGTGAGAGTGACTGGGGTGGTTTGGGAGAAGGATCTGCCTTACAGCCAAAGCCTGAGGGCCACCAAGAGCACACACGGAAGCAAAGGGGGGAGCACTGGTGAGATTTAAGCATGTGTGTGATGTGAACCTTTTCAGTCTTGGAGCAACATACGCTGATGCACTGGAATCCGGGGGAAGACGTTTGCCTGGATTAGAATGAGATCACAGTGGTTTGGGCTAGGGCAGTGATGGGAGATGCTCTCAGACTAAAAAGAGTTAAGACAAATGTTCCATTCATATTTACCAGAATTAATGATTTGAAAGTTGGAGGTTGTAAGAGGTAAGCAGGGCAGGGATAAATGCCAGATCTCTTGCAGGAACTGGGAGATTAAAGGTCACATTCATCCAAGGCCTGGAAAAAGAACAGCACCTTTCCCTCATTCTAACCTTAGCCAAATAGTTAGATTTTGTGAATTTGCTGACTATGTAATACACTATCATTAGTGCAACAAATTAGAGATATTTATAAAAATCAGAGTTACATCATTGTTTAAACTTTCAAATTTACAGGTGAGAAAATGTAGACCTAAATGTAAAATTGGACTCCTAAGTAATGTAGATATCAAATCTGTCACGATCAATGCACCTATAACTATTGCCAGATAATTTGACTATTTTTGTGTTTTTACCTATTATTTTCATAACCATTTATGTAATTCTCTTACTCATTTAGTTCCATATTTCTTCACATTATAGTTCATATTAATGAATTATCTTCCTTTCCTTCATCCTTCTTGTTCCTTTTCCATCTCCTCTGTCTCTTCATCATTCACCTGTTTCTTTCCTTTTCTTCTCCTTATTCCTTCCTTCTTTCTTGACTTCTTTCCTATCTCTACCTGTCTCTTTTCACTTTAGGATTTAGCTATTAAAGAGTTATGGACCACAGCAACTATAGTTCTTTCCATGGTTTCATTCTTCTTGGATTCTCTGACCATCCCAACCTGGAGATGATCCTGTCTGGAGTCATTGCTGTCTTCTATCTTATCACACTGGTGGGTAACTCAACCATTATTCTTGCATGTCACCTGGATTCCCACCTCCACACACCAATGTACTTTTTTCTCAGGAAATTATCTTTCCTAGACCTGTGTTTTACATCCAGCATAGTCCCTCAGATGCTGGTGAACCTGTGGGGACCTGAGAAGACCATCAGCTATGCAGGCTGCATCATTCAGCTCTATGTTTACATGTGGCTGGGCTCTGTTGAGTGCCTTCTACTGGCTATTATGTCCTATGACCGATTCACAGCAGTCTGCAAGCCCCTGCATTACTTGGTAATCATGAGCCCAAATCTGTGCCTCAGGATGATTATAATGGCCTGGAGTATTAGTCTGGCCAATTCTGTGGTGCTGTGTACACTGACCCTGAATTTGCCTAGATGTGGAAACAAGCTTCTGGATCACTTCCTGTGTGAGTTGCCAGCTATGATAAAGATAGCTTGTGTAGACACCACAACAGTTGAAATGTCTGTTTTTGCCTTGGGCATTGTCATTGTCCTCACACCCCTGACGTTTATTCTTATTTCCTATGGCTACATTGTCAAAGCTGTGATAAGGATGAAGTCAAAAGCAGGACAAAGAAAAGCAATGAATACCTGTGGATCCCATCTCACTGTGGTATCCATATTCTACGGAACAATTATCTACATGTACCTGCAGCCAGGTAGCAGTGCCTCCAAAGACCAGGGCAAGTTCCTTACCCTCTTTTACACCATAGTCACTCCAAGCCTCAATCCCCTCATTTACACCCTGAGGAATAAGGACATGAAGGGAGCACTGAAGAAACTGTTGGGCTCTCACCATGAATCTGCAAAAGGGAAGAGGAGTTGAAGGAACAAGACAGTGAAATAAGTTTTCTTTGTTTTTCACTCTTACAAGTAATCTTTAGATCCAAACATGAATTAATATAATTCCTAAATGCAAGCAAAGCAATGTAGCTACTGTTATAACTATCCTACTTAGCTTTTATACCATGAAGCAATGGCATATCCCAGGAAAATAGGCCATAGTTATTTTTATTTTTGTTTCACCTATGACAGAATGTGTAAACTTAAACTTAAATGCACCTAATTTATTTAAAGCCCCCCAAGTGCTATTTTGCTTACCCATGCTATTTTTTAATTTTATTATTTTTGTTTTATACTTTGGATTGAACCCAGGGTCTTTGTACTGAATTGCATCATCATCACACTTTTTAAAAAAATCTCTATTTTGAGACAGATTCTCACTAAGTTTCTAAGGTGCCCCTACCAGGCTTGAACTTATGATTCTTCTGCCTCAGCTTCCAGAGTGCATGTGGCATCACATTTGACTAGGTTTGTATTTTAAATGAGAAACTTGATGGTCAGAAATGTAGACCTGAATGAATGATCTCATATAAATTAGGGGTTTTATATTAAATAATAATATGCAAATAATGATATTCAATTAAATCTTTTGTAATGCCATGCTAACATGTACATGTATTTAACATCTATGTGACAGTAATCATTATAAGTACCATGTGAAACAATTTAGTCTTCATTTAATGAAACAATAATAATGAAGTCACTGAGTAAAGTGTTTTTTGCTATTTAAGCCTGTAACTTCTTTATTATGATAGGAAAGTGGTTTTGAAAAGAGTCAGAACAGACTGATTCTTTCATGATTTGATTTGTGAAACACCCATTCCATGAATATCTCAACTAAGGGAACAAGACTGTGGCTGCTTTGACAACAGTTCAGTTTTTGACATTTACATATAGAATCAGTGTATTTATATGTAGTTTTAAAAATGCAGTAATATTTAATTGCAGTGGAAATTCATGAAAGGAATCTTTTGATTTCCTTTTATCATGATATATTTAGCTTTTTGTGGGAAGTCGTGAGGAATTTTGCATTAAACCTTGGTATTTTCTATGAGCTGATAATTTCTCTAAAAGATTTCTTATTTATTAATTATAATCAATTAGATGGACTTAGTAGAATATGTTGCTGAAATCCAAAAGTGCCCTAATATTTTCTTCATGTTTGTTTCATAATTTTTGAACTGCGAAGAAGGAGAAGTCTGAGTAAAAACAGTGCAATAATGACACATGCAATGCATTAGCCTGGTATAGACTTTGGTCAGTGTTCTTATATTCCACACAGTGCCTCTTTCAGAGCTGCCCTCAAAAACTGTTCACCAGCTTTCAAACACAGTTCAGGAAGATAATGGCCAAGGCCACCTATTACTCTCACACTTGAAAAGTTTGTTATTATGCATGATATGACTTTTAACTAATAATAGGAGATACACTAAGCTATTTACTAACTTTAATAATGTAAACATATAAAAATACAGTATTTATGGAATGTGGTATGAACATTACATGTTACGTATATGATTGTTTTCTACATTGGTATATTTTTGTCTTCTCTTCTGTCACTTCTATCTTAAGGTTCCACATTACACCATCTCTTCAATTAATTTAGTACTCTTTTATTTATCCTAAATAAATGCATATATTAGGACCATTTTATTAAATTACAATAGACTCTTTAAATAAATTGAATCTCTATAAGTTAACTAGCAGTTTGAATGCTAACAAGCCTGACTTAATACGTGGCCTGAAAATCTTGTGTTAGTGTAGGTAATAATAATAATAATTAAACTTTCTCTCTGCTAAAGAGTTAGTTTTCTTTCTGTCCATAGACTCACAACAGGAATGGGAGTTTAGCTCACACACTCCAGCTTGTGCAACCATTCCTGAAACACATGGAATCTCTGCAGCAGAAAGTGTCAGATTTAAACTGACAGTGAGCAGTCAAACACTTTAAAACTTCTAAGATTCCAGGTGTTATTTTAAATGTTCTGGCTGTAACAAAAGAAAAAGAAAAACAGGAGGAAGTATGAAAGAAATATTTATGCAGTGAGAAGATCAGAATTTTAATATCAAATTTCTTTGGGGAAAATAATCATTTAATATTCTGTGCTTATATGTCCCCTCAAAACCTCCTGCTTTTTCAGAGGTGCTGAATCCAGAATGTGTGATTGATTCATTGTGGGGCTAGGCCTGAGGCCAGTAGGGTTAAGTGCTTGAGTGCTACCCACCCTAAGTAGTGTGAATAAGACAAAAGGGGCAGAAAGACACTGTTAAGATCCCTTCGTGCTTCTGCTGACTTCTGCTGCCATTGTAGAGACAAAATGACTCCATTTTGTGGTCAGGTGACCACCTAGTTACTGGAAAAACCTCATACTGCCCTTTTGACCCAGTTCTCAGAAAAACCAGTGACAGTTCTTATAAACTATAACTAGGTGTCCTTCTCTGTTAATCCTGCAGGAACTTATGGTTGGGGCACGGAGGGACATATGGCCCTTTCCAGTAGAATAGAAACACATCTGCCTTTGCCCAGTGTTACCAATCAGGCACTGACCTGTCTAAAAAGCCACTAGTTCTGCTCCCTTTGCTGATAAAAAGACTTTTAAAAATCAGGTTAGGGGCTCTCAGTATGAAACCACTGCATCAGTGAGATCCAGGAGTCCAGGCTCAAGCTTGCAATAAATTCCTCATGTAATTGCTTCAGACTCACCTCATTAGTGGTCTTTGGGGATACCGCAATCTGGGCACAACATTTGGGGGGTCATCCAGGATACCCAAGACCTCTGGATTTGACTTGGAGGGGACCGACCAGTCAGGGTAAGAAAGTGTGTCTTTATTGTCTGTCTGAATCTGAGTGCTTGCAAGGAAAATTTGGGTGGCCGACTGTGGGTTGTAGCAGCCGCACTAGACAAGCCCCGATGGTCCGGGTTCTTGGAAGATATTACATTCCCTTGTAAATAGGAGGTTCGAGTTCCCCAGAGTGTTTGAGTCCCTCTTCTGGAAGGAGGCGAGGTGGGTCGCTCCCACAGTTCAACACTAGGCCTCCGCCTCAGTTTTGGTTTTGTCTCTGGATCCACTTGGAGTTTTGTGTCTTGTGTAAGTGTTTGTATTTTTCTGTTGTACATTGTGTGGACAAGGACAGACAAGGAAAGAATGGGACAGATGCAAACCACCCCACTATTACTCATGGTGGAACATTTTAAAAAGGTTAAGGCATGAGCTCATGACCTATCAGTGGAAATAAAGCAGGGAAAGTTGCAGACTTTTTGTGATTCAGAATAGCCATCCTTTGGAGTTGAATGCCCCCTGGGGGGAACTTTAGATATGAGAAGAGTAAAAAAAAAGTTAAAAGGATTGTTTTCCTTCCTCAGCAGGGTCATCCAGATCAAATCCCTTACATTGTTATTTTGGAAGACTTGGTAAATAACCACCCTCACTGGTTAAAACCTCTTTTGCCCTCATAGCCACTTGAGCTGTTATTGGTCACCAAAGAGAAGGAGAACTCTGAGGATCTGGCTCCAAGAACAACCCATTGGATTGCTTTCTCACAAATTTTAAATTGGCTTTTTTTTCTCTGAGCAGGAAGAGGAATATACAGTCAACTTCTTCCAGGGGAAAGAAGGGGTTAAATGACACAGCCCATATTGGGCCTTCACTGGAGTACTGCTGGAGGGAGTGACGGTCCACCTCCTCAGAAAGGAAGAGGAGCGCCCCTGGGATCTCCTGGGTTCCCTTTCTAGGACTCAGAAACCAGCTTGCTGGTAACAGAACAAAAAGAAGGTGAATGAATAAAATCATCTGTCTGAATGGTGAGATCCCCTGGGCTGCTCCCTAGTTTGTCTTTGGAAGGGGACCCAGGGAGGGAATGTGTTAACTTCGTATAGGACTGTGTGTGAAAGAGACTTGGTTAGGAGAGTGAGTAGAACCAGCTATGAAAGCCATCGGTAGCCTTGGGAAGGGGCACTTGTGCTTAAAGAGCCCGCCTAGCAAATAAATGAGGCTATTTTGTAGAATGGCAGCCCACCCTTTGTTTGTCTTGCATCACTGGACAAGGGAATATCTAATGGTCGTGGGGAAAGTTAATTCTAAACCAACTCTTCTTAAGTGCATAATTCAAAATTTTGATAAGATTTTATGGGGGACTATAAGATAAAACTACAACCAAAGACGCTTAAGAAACTTTGTAAATTGTCATAGTCTCAGCTAAGCCAGATATTGCCCCCAGGACAACTCTAGACAAAAGAGAAGTTATCTACTTTTGTTTCGCTTACCTGAGACTTTGACAACTTGGAGCCTTGTGTGCTCTAGGAGCTGCTCAAGCTTCTGCCCCATGGTAATCAGCTACTAGTGAGAACTATTTAGTTTTGATCTTTTAAACCCACTTGCTAACTCTGTTGTTTTTCCCATGGTGAACTTGCCTCTCAGAAAATGTGACATTGATGCAGACAAATTCCAGTGTTTCCCCTCTGGAGGAAGTCGAGCTATTCACCATCTGACTTGAGTTGCTAAAATGGTGTGGAGTAAGTGGAGACAAAAACAGAGTTGTTTAGCTTTACTGTGCTGGAGGGTGTAAATGGGAAAGCATGGCTGGACTCAAAAAATGGAACAGGGCTTGCACTCAGATTAGAAAGAACTAACATGAAAAAATAAATCTCTAATGGATTAAAATCAGATAGGAAAACTCTGAAAGACAAAGTAGATAGAAAAAAAGAAAAAAGAAAACTGCAAGCCAGAGAAACTGCAATTTTGATTTACCAGACATCAAGAGATTTTTACAAGAAAAATCAAGTTAGAAATTTTAACTGTTTGATAAACGTATCTTTTTTACAATTTGAATTAAGTTTAATTGATGTACTTAAAACTCTTCTTGCGCATTGCAAATTCCTGAATTTCGATTATAGGGTTAACTTGCTCTTTTCTGTACTTTGTTGATAAAAACTCAAGGTTAATACTGTTCTATAGGTAACCAGTCAAATCTTAAGATGTAACAATCTGAGAATAGGAAAAAAAAGAACATTTTAAGATTTTAACAGCTGAAGTTTGTTATAGAAGGTTAATAGCAAATGAGACAGAAAAGGATATTAAGAAAGCTATGGGTAAAAGAGATATACTTGTTTTTTTTTTGTTTTTTTTTTTTTTTTTTGGTACCAGGGATTGAACTTGTGTCCTTGCACTTGCAAGGCAGTCCACTGAACCACTGAGCTAAATCCCCAGCCCAAAAGAGATATACTTTTGATATGAAAGGATTTTTAAAAACTTTTTCAAAGATTTAATTTTGGTAATTATATTTGGTATTTATTTTACTATATTTTATTTTTTATTTCATAAGTTTATTACTTCTTTTTTTCTAGCTGAGTAAAGTTTATTTTGTTGTTATTTTGCTGACTTTTTAAATTACATACTTGTTTGTTTTCAGTTCTTTTTTTTTTAATTGAATTTATTGGTACATTCTAGGTAGACAGTACAATTACATTCATTACTGGGGTCTTGTACCTTTACATGCCAGGTCCTGGTTCTCACTTTTTCCCCTTGTCCCCACCCTCCCTTCACCCCCTTCTCCCCTCCCCACCTTCAAACGCTTTAATTCCATTTATACATTTTCTCATATTTTTTTCCTTTTCCCTTATTCCGCTTTCCCTACCCTTCTCACTGTCCCTACACCTTTGGTCCTTTTATTCCTATTTCACAATGCTAATTGCCCCATTTAGGATCTTGAGTACTATTTTAGTTTTTCACACCAGAGAAACTATTCGGTATTTGCATATGTGTGACTTATTTAGGATTTTGTATGTTTGTCATGTTAAAAAGATATAAAAGTATACAAGACCAGAAGGCCTAAGTATGTAGAAAAAATATATGAAAATGATTTACGTATGTTTGTTTGTTGGTTTCAAGTTTTTTACAAAAGATTTACTTTTACAGTAACAAAGATTTTGTTTCTTTTGATTGTAATTCTACAAGAGATTTCTGTTAATTGGTCTGCAAACCTTTTGACTAGCCTTAACTAAAGAAGATTTTAGGGCTGGAGGTTTAGCTCAATGGTGCTGCTGCCTGCCTTGCAAGCACAAGGACCCATGTTCAATCCCCAGTATCAAAAAATAAATAAATAGAGAGTTTTAATAATTCAATTGGCCAAATACATGTGAGTATATTATAGTTTCATAAATTGTCTTATATGTTTGTTTGTGCCCAATTGTTTAAAAAGTGCCCAATTATATTTTGATTGAAATGACAGAAAGGATACTAATAATTTGTTAATTTCTAAAACCTGGTTTTATAAGTTAAAATTTTGTCAAGATAATTAAATATAAACTCAGGTCTAAATAGACTCCTGTTAGTAGTAAAAGGACAGCTGCTCAGAAAAATTTATTCTGGTCATTATTCACTGATGGCCTTCTGAGAAGATACCCCCAATAAACAGGTCTAAATATGTTGTTATAAAATGTTTAAATTGGTTATCATCAAAGAATTAGATTCTAAATATATTATTGTGATGTGTTTATAATACTCATTTTCAAAATAGGATTTCTGTGGAAAAATAGTTATTACAATATTCTATTAAAATGCTTTTGATACCTAATTAGATTAAGGGGCATAAAGTTTCATACATGAAATTATGATTATTTTTAATTTTCTGGTGTACTAAACAAAAAAACAGGGCATTGAGAGACTTAATCCTGCTTCAGGAGGCAGGATATAAAATTTATGCTGCTTGGAGATAAAAGGACTTAAAACAGATAAGAAAACTTTTGGATAAGAGGTTTTTACAGGATCTAGATTCTCTATATGTATAAATCTTTAAAGGGACCAGAAAGACAGTAATTATTATAGGGTAAAGAGCAAGAGTCAGAATTTAAACAGTTAAAAATAACTCTGATGCCCCCTATATCAGGGATCCTAAATGTGACCCAGCCTTTTAGTTTGTACCTGACTGAAAAAAAAAATCATACTGCTTTAGGGGTGCTCATTGAAGGAGTAGGCCCATAGAATTAGCCAGTGACATATTTATCTTACAGTTTAGATCCAGCTGTGAAGAAATAGCTCCACTGTTTATAAGCTCTGGCAGCTGCAGTAATGCTAATTAAGGAAGTTGACCAGGTAACACTGGAAAAAGTAAATTGTTCAGTTTCTCCATGCCTTTTAGAACTATTGAATAACAGGACATTGATGGCTCTCAAATAATAGAGTCAAATAATATCAGGCCCTCATCTGTGAGAATCCCCGCCTATATTTTGCTCCAGTTAAAACCTTAAACCCTGCTACTTTTTGTCCTTGGAACCTGGCCCCCTGATTACAACTGCCTCAAGGTCACTGATGAATTGTTCTCCAGTCATTCAGATCTGCAAAAAGATCCACTGCCTGAGGCTGATTTCATCCTGTTCAAGGATGAGAACAGCTTCATGGAAAATGGGGTACGCTATGCTTGGCTATGCGGAGATGACTCAAGATGAAGTGGTCCAAGCAGGAACCCTCCCCACTGGATGATCAGTGCAGTGAGCAGAACTATGAGCACTCATACAGGCTCTCCGATGGGCAAAAGAAAAGACAATAAATATTTACACAGTTTCCTGATTGCCACTTGGTATATCTATGGCACAGTCTATGCAAGTGTGGTCTTCTCACAGCATAAGACAAATTTATTAAAAATAGGATATAATATAGTTATTTAAGGCAATGTGGATATTATGCCCCCTTATTATAAGGGAATAGCTTTCCAGGGAAGATATAATATATCTGCTGACCATACTGGTTGTAGATGGGAAAAAGGAGGAAAAGGACAACTTACTCTGATGTCAGTCACCAGGAGTGGCACTTGTCTGGACTATGTGCCTGACTCCCATAAACATCTCTGTAACCAGACATATCAAATCAATGCTACCTCCTATTATGTTCCCCCTGACAATGGATTGTGGGCCTGCTCTACTGGATTAACCCCTTGTGTGCATGGACAAGTCATACATCAGACTAATGATTATTATGCTCTAGTTTATTTGATGCTTCAAATTATTTATCATGGATATGATTATTATTGGACCAATGGGAAAAGAAACTGCAACGGGTCAAGAGGGAACCAATCACAGCCATCACCCTCATAGTATTGTTAGGGATGAGACTGGTGGGGGCTGAGACAGGGGTTTCTGCTATCACCACTCAACATCACCAATATAACTGCCTGAGAATAGCCATTGATCAGGACATTGAGAAAATAGTAATGTCCATAATCAAACTCCAGGAATCCCTAAGCTCCCTCACTGAAATAACCTTACAACTTAAAAGAGGTATGGATTTACTATTTCAACAGCAAGGTGGACTGTGTGCTGCTCTAGGAAAAGAAGGCTGTTATTATGTGGATCATTCAGGAGTAATAAAAGATTCTATGGCCAAAGTTAGGGAAGGGCTAGGGAAGAGAAAAAATAAGTAAAAAATACAAGACCAAGGATGGTATGAGAGCTGGTTCACTTCTTCCCCTTGGCTGACCTCTTTACTTTCAGTCTAGCTGGTCCTGCGATTATAGGCTTAATTTTACTCATTATATGACCCTGTATAATTAATAGATTAATTGCTTTTGTTCAAGAAAGAGTAAATTCAGTGCAACTGATGGTGCTGAGACAACAATACCAATCCCTCCAATGGGACAAGGGATTAGATATCAACACCTCTCATCAACTCGAACTGCAAGATTCCCTAGTCCCCTAAGATAGTCCCCAGAAATGCTGATTAAATTCACAAATCTCTCCTCTCAGGAGTTGCAAGAGAAACCAGCAGATGGTGGGGCACTCTTTCAGAGTACACACCCTGGGTGACCACTTCTGTAAAGCAATAAGAAGATCACAGCTCCACCCACAAGCCAGAGGCCTGCTCTGTTGCATCTACCCTCAAAGGTTATGTATTTATTGTGCCACATGGGTTCAATATGCAGAGGACTCCCCACCCAGTAACATGCAAGATACTGCCCTACTCCCAGGATACTGTCCCAAGCATAGAGGAAGACAGAATCAAATGGCCACTAAGCCCAACTGGGCACTTGGTGGGATACAGTTTCTCTGGTTTCCCCCACAGTTAGCTACCAACTTACTAGTTCACCTATTTTGCCATTCCCCTACTGTATCTAGAGGTTCAAGTGCTCCTTCCTGGGGGTCACCAAATCACTATTGGCTACAGGAGACACTCAACCATTATCAGTTATATTGGGTTATTGTGTTCCTTGACTCATTGGGACCACATCCTCTGAGCCCAAGAGTCTTACGAATTTTCAGTATGCTCTTACAGGAGCTGAGGCCAAGGTATGGCAGAGCCAAGTCTAGCTATCGAAATGTTGTCCACCTAATAGATACACCCTCCTTACCTCAACAACTACTTGCCAAAGCCAAACAGAAAGTTGAAGCCAAACTTGAGGCCCAGCAAAATTGGAATTGGCATCATAGCCACAGGACTAAGCTGGGGGGACCCCAAAAAATAATCACCTTGCTCTAGGTTCCGCATCACCCCTACTCAGCAGGAAGTAGCCTAATGAGGATGACACTCCCATTCCCATGATTGGGTCCCTTAAGGCTCTTGAGAAGGGGGGAATGTACAGACCAAACTGACTGCATTTTGAAAAATGACTCCATTTTGTGGTCAGGAGACCACCCAGTTACTGGAAAAGCCTAGGAGTGCCTTTTTGACACAGTTCTTGGAAAAAACCACTACAGTTCTCGTAAACTATAACCAGGTGTCCTTCTCTGTTAATATTGCAGAAACTTATGGTTGGGGCAGGGAGGGACATCTGGTCCCGGCCAATAAGATAGAAGCACATCTGCCTTTGCCCAATGTTAACCAATCAGGCACTGACCTGTCTAAAAAGCCCCTAGTTCCACTTCCTTTGTTGATAAAAAGCCTGGTTAAAATCGGGTTCAGGGCTCTCGGTATGGAACCGCTGTGGCAGTGAGGTCTGGGAGTCCAGGATCGAGCTTACAATAAATTCCTCATGTAATTGCATAGGACTCAGCTCCTTCGTGGTCTATGGGGATATCACAATCTGGACACAACACCATGAACTGTTTTCCCTCTGTCAACCTGCCTTGGAGCCAGTGGATTAATGGACTGAAGACTCTATGAACTCTAAGCCAAAGAAAATAACCCATTTTAACTTTTGATATTGGATATTTTATCTCAGCAATGAGAGAGAAGTAACTAACATACATTCTTAGCTTTTTATACCCTTAAATTTAAAGTACATCATTAGAATGATTTCCCTTTCCTGTCCCCTTTCATGCTTTACTGAGTGTGCCATTGCTGTCTTTGTGACATCCCTGATGCAGACTATTCACCAAGCACCACGGGGAAAGAGCCTTTTCCACCAGGGGTCATGGGGTTAGGCTCATCAGTGCCAGGAGAGTCCTTGGCTGGCAAAAATGACTCCAAAAGGACTAAATTAACTCTACTACCTGTTCCCTGGTTTGTAAGATAAAATAGAAGTCTGAACATTTTAGCAAGGGTACCAGCTTTCCAGAAAATTAATACACAACATAGTTTAGGACACATTTTGCTAAACTATGTGCTAAAATTAGCACTAATTATAAGTGCTAGGCTTTTCAGAAAATAAGGTGCAAGTTGGATTTGGATGAAATGGACACAAGCTTGTATGGTACATGACAATCAAGATAACTTTAAAATTCTCTAAGATCTGTATTTGGCTGATAGGAGCCAGGTTAAAAAAAAGTATAGGAAAGCCAGGAAAATTAAAAAGCAGCATGGATATAACTAGAACAAAGAGTGGAAGCAAATAGCCTCTTGGAATAAAAATGGGTTGATTATTGAAATATTAGATTACACAGTCATTAAATAAGAGTGTGTGAAATGCTACTGTAAAAGCCATTTTTGAGCTGTGTTTTACATGTCTAACTTTGGGAAATCACTGACTATTTTCTGTAACAAGGACAACCTTAAAATTGTTGCTACAACAACAGCGTGTTGGGAGTCCAGTATAAGTATACTGTAAATGCTTCATGAAATTATTTTCTCACAGAGCTGTTTGCCAGACATTCCCAGATTCCTATCACAGACACTTCCTGGTTCATTGATTGAATGCATTGGCATGAAAACATTGGGAATTAAAGACATATAAATGTGTTATCAGCTACCAAATTCTAAAGATTGAAAGGAGACGCCTACCATCACCTCTTCCATCTCTCACCAGCAAAAGTGATCAGTAGACAAGTTGACTGGACTTGTGGGAAATACTGACTTCCAATGCTGTGGGTCAGAGTTTTAAATGAGGAAAACTAATCCAGTGTTTGTAGACCACAAAATGTATGGCTGTATAATAAAAATAAGTAATATAAACTTACCTGCAGGATACATTAGTAAGCATATGGAAGAGTCCAATTAGGATACACACAGATATCAGAATGTGGTTGACTGGAGAATTTATTTAAATTGCTTGTATAGCTTTGATTTATCAAATATCAAATTGACTAATTTTTCATCAGGATAAAATTTTAAAAGTTTTGTCCTAAAATATAATTTTCTCCCAATGTTTAGCTATCTCCAGTGCACTTTAATTCACAGATGTAGCTGGATATTTGCTTCCCTTTCTGAGATGGATGCAACAGTTACTGCAGAGGTGTGAAGAGCAGGTAAGAAAAAGTAACACAAATCAGTGAGGTATATACTTCATGCACAGTGGGTTATTTTCCTCTCCTTTCACTCATACATACACTGGTAGGAAAAATAATTTTTCTATTGTATAAGAGGAGAAATCAATTATGTGAGTGGAAAAATTTGCCTGAATGTTGTATCTTGATCAATTAAACTTAATTTAGCATTCTAGAAAATCTTAATTGGTATGTGTTGGGTTAGCCTGTATAAGCTGTCAATATAGATTGTTTAATGAAAATAGCATTTGCCATTTCCTCTGTTAAAATTCCTACCCCTCTTGCTATTGCAGTGATCCCTTAATAATACTTCCTGCTTCAATCTCTAGCAAACAACAGGATTAGATATTTCTGGCTTATTCACCATGAAGGTCTAGGTCCTAACACTAGACATAAAAATTGGTGAAATTACTCCCTGCTGAGGACAGTCTGTAAGGACTGCTCAACTTTCCTACTTCTTCAAAGGCACAGACAGCAGTGCAGCAATCAATCAGGTAAATAAAACCACCAAAGAACAAGATGGAACATCAACAATGGCCCAGAAGAAGTACAAATTGACAGGCTTCCTGGACTGTGAGCTCAAAGTTCTGCCCACTGTGAAGATTTCCCTCTGCTGCTGTCCCTCAGAGATGTCCTGGGAAGGGTTTGTGGTGCTGTAGCTCATGTCTGATCTCCCTTTTATTTAATGGACTGTGGGTCTGTAAACTGGCTCAAATCAGGAAACTGGAAGAGGACTCATGACTCTCTGCTTCTATGATTCGAATTAGAGTTCTGTTCATTTTACCCTAAAAATTTTCCCCTGATATAAATTCAGTAAAATTCAGTAGGCTTCATGTCTGTTTCATTTTGGGGAACATCATGACTCTCTAGTCAATGCCATTGGTCTACACTTAGCAGGCCATTACAATCAGCACTTTGCTTTTGCTGTCCATTTTGCTAAGTACAGGCATCTCATCTTTGCCAGTTGAGCACTGACATTTGATCCCTGCCACTTGAAAGTCCAATTGAACTCATAGGCTTTAAGTTTCCCACCACAAGGTTCAACCTACAGGGCAGAGCGATGACAGGGCTCTTCAATGTTGTTAGTGCTCCTTTCAGAAATCTGTTTCTTAAGGCATTAGTGAAAGGCATATTTTCTGTATTCTCCCAAGAGAATATTAGGTTTAACTTGGCAAATCCAATCCATAGTTGTTGGGATAATAGTGAAAGAAACAAAAAACTGAAGCAGGCTGTTTTCTGACCACGTGCCAGTAGAATAGAGAAGTAGACTTAAAGTTGCAGCTCACGGAGCTAAGTAAAAGTGATAATAGGTTGTTTGGCTTGTTGGCTGAAGTATAAATAAAAAAACGGCCCACTATGAATGAGCTACAGATGCCACATATTCCTTGGCTTACTGGAGATAAGACAACTCAAGGGCTCAGGGAGGCCATCATTAAAGCAGATACTAGGAATAACTCTACCACTGAGGAAATCTCTTTCTTTGAAAGAAATCATCTGATCAAGGTTGAGGAGCTCACTGTCTCCAGCCTCATCTGGTTCCTCTCAAAGGTCTCCGTCCCCACTCATGGTATCCCATCATTTTTCACAGGTGGGCCCTAAGGTTATGCTGTAATTCCACTCATTAAAATATGAGGACTTGTGTTGGGGTTTAAACAATTTTTCTGTGGCTAAGGGAGAAATGATTCTCTTTCAAGTCACAAGTAGAAATTTTGCAAATCTTTGTGCACATTTCGTGCTGGGAATTTGACTCTTTAAGCTCCTTGTTTTCCATTATTAATTTGTCTTCACACTTAGAAAACTTCACATTTGTTAATTCATTTCCTGTGCTTATGATTTTTCTTTATTAGTTTGTTTCGAGATGCTAAAGGCAAGCAGTCATCATTAAGTTTCCCACTCTTCCAAAAATGTTAGAAAAGTATTGTATGTAGAGTCACTAAATTCCTTACAACTCACAAGTGGCAAATTAGGAAATCAAATAGATTTATGTTGCATATTATTTTAAACAGTTCTACCATGGACTATCTATACTCTCAAATTCAAGAAACAGAGTCAAAAATCCTAGTGATGTATGATATCATAAATGTGGAATGTCACATAGGTTCAAAATTACCAAAAACTAAAAAGATTACCAGAAACTAAGAAGAGTAAGGACAATGAAGAGATAAGGAAAAACTAGTGAACAAGCTCTGATTACAGTAAGATAAGAGCAGTAAATCCTGCAGTTCTATTGGTTCCATTGCAGAGCAGTATGACTATGGATACAATAATGTATTGTAATGTAGATATTAAGAAAGCTGAATGCTCTTAGATAACATTTGTATATATAGTTACCAAGTAATATTGGGTTTTCCAACATCAAAGATTGTTTACAAGAATTAACTAAATTAGTTTTTAGGTTCACTCATAAATTTTGTGTAACCTTCTGGCCCCTCAAACATGTTTCATGAGTTGAAATCCTTCAACTCTTCTGTTAATTTTCCTCTAGTAACCTCTCAAATCGACCCTCTCTCTTCCAGGTTCTCGTATCAGAACAACACTATTGCCAAATATATATTTTTATTTTTATATTTATTTTTCTCTTTCCTTTTTGTCTTACCTTTCTTCCTTTTTTATAATATCTATCTGATGTATTTGTTTATATAAAAGAGAGAATAAGAATTCATTACTGCTTTAGATTTATTCTATGCTTCATTAACATACCAGGCTAACTCATCAATAATTGTGTATGGAGGATTCAAACATAGTATTTCTCTCAGCATATTCATTGGTTCCAGCCTCTGTATCAAACTATATTTTCTCCTTCCATTTACCCTCCCATCAATAATATCTACCACTTCCTGTCCTTTCTCCCATTATTCCAGTCACCATCACTGAAGTACAATCTCTTTTCTCTCCTATATTTGCTCTCTTCTCTTTTGTCTTGGTGCTTAGTCACAACTATTTTCTTTTTCCTTTCCTCATCTTCTACACCCTAGTTTACACTTTCTGAGAAATATTTCAGTGTCTTCCTGGGAAAATGAAAAGTGTGAAATTATTAAAATTTATTTTCAATTATATGTTGACACATAGTTGTTTATGTAGATGCTGCTGTAAGTGGTTACTCTTCTGTCATTTCATGTAACTTTAATCTTAATTCTATTTACATTAATGACTAATATGTGGAAAGAGAGTGACAAAGACCATTTCATTTTGTTATGAAAAAGTTAAAGATTTGAAGCTTTGCTTTAAATGCTACTTGAAAGGTTCTCACTGGAAATACCACTTTTTTCTTTTTCAAACTTATCCTTGCCCCTTTATGATTCTGAATGGAAATAGTTAAATCTATGTGAGCTATCAAAAATATGGAATAAGAAAGCTATTCAAAGACTCCTCATATAGATTTTCCAGAGTCATTTACTCAAACTAATCTGTCCCATTATTATTAGTCACACATGTTTAATTGCATTATATTTAAAATTAGAGTCCAGATTGTTGGGGAACTTGATCAGCTTATTTTACACAAATGTAGCAATAAAGTGAATCCAATCTTAAATCTGGAGGTGATTAATTGTGCAAAGGAGCCTGTCCATAGAGAGCTCTGTCCCAAGGAATTTTCTTTGTTGACTCACCTGGGGAAAGAGTAAATGAATGGCCTGTTTGACAACAATGCCCATGTGGATTCAGATAACATACAAATACAACATCCATGGAGCATATTTGATAAATTCTATTACTGCATTCCTGTCCTAGGTTTTTATTGACTTTTTTATGTGCATCAACTGAAAAATGATGTGTTCTAAAGCTAATTTTTAAACATATATGTTCATGCTGCAGTTTCTCTTTCCTTTGAAAGTTTGAAACATTCACAATCCCTCTATATGGAGAATATCAAAATAAGGTAAGTAAATAATACTTGTTTTAAAGGACAAGTACTCCCAGGGAAGACTAAAATGCATATAGGTCATAGTGTCTAACATGCATATGAAATGGAGAAAGTATTTTCTAAACTCTAGAAATGTCTTGTTTGGATTAGATCTGAGATCTTCCCCATAAAGCTCAGATGGTCAGAGGTGGTGGCTTTGGAAATCTGGATCTGGACAGTACTAATGTCATCAAGTGTATTGATCTGGTGATGAGATCATATTTTGCTGCCATGATTGGAAGGTGGTGGAAACAGGAGGTGGCTCCCGATTGAAGGCAGTCACCATGGGACCCATGAGAGCTATGCCTGGTCTCCACTCCTCCCTCAGAGGCTCCTCTCTTCACTTGCTTCCTGGCCATCTGAAATGAGCAGTTTTGCATGACTGTTGTCTTTCACCATGAAGTCTCTTCCCTGCTATAGTCTTATAGCTGTGAACGTAGCCATTGTGGCCTCACACTTCAAAAAAGTGAACCAGAACAAACCATTACTTCCTTCAGAAGCTTTCCTCCAGTGCATGGTAACAGCAAATAAAAGACCAATAACCCACTGAGTTCGGTGAGTGGCTCTAGGAACAATTAAATTTTACTTGCAATTAGTGTACTTATACTGTTCTGTTTCTGTTTCTCACATAAATCAAAGGTAAAATAATTTATTTTAAAAACAAGGATATTTCTGGCATATATTAAGTCTTTGAATGAAGGATGAAGCTTTGAATCAATTCTGCGACTGCATCATGGGAATCCTTTTTAAAAATATAGTGAACATTTCATAGTTCAACTTCTCCAAATTTCAGTCAGATGTCTTGGTGTCACATAAAACTAACACTGATTTCTCCTTGTGGTATATTATTCTATACATCTATATAAAGCACCATAAACATCAATTAACTTCTAAAATAAGATATGAATAATATACACTGGAATGAAAATGTGAGTGGAGATGCAAAAGATGTCAACAGGATTTCAGCCTGGCAATTTATTAAACTGACTTTAAACATCCTTGGATAACTAGATCACATTGTAATGAAGCAGGGATGGAAAATCACTGGAAGTAGAAGATGCAAAATTCTAAGAACTAAGTGCTAACAGTAAAGAACTACATAGAAAAGATGAGAGATCTAGGGATAGAATTACAGAGCATAAACATACTGCAAGCAAGTCATGCTAACTAGACTCACCCAGCATGGTTTCTCCAGGGAAATATCAACAAAAATAACATGAGAGCTGGCAATGTGTTCCAAAGGCAGAGTACACAGTATCTTATTATCAGGATAAAGTAAAGCTATCTTCTATTACCTCTTATTCCTATTACAATGACCAGATTGTGGTATTTCATGGTTACTGAGATTTATTTTTAAAGTACAGTTTGTTCTGTATTTAGCAAAAAGACTCTTTGAAGCAAAAGCAATTGGTTTTGAGGAGGGTTGATGTCAATGTGACTTTTACTGCAATAATATTTTTAAAAAATTTAAACACAATATAATTTTGTCACACATCATATACTTGAGGGAATATGTTGAAAGTGCTTAGACTTTTTATTCAGTTCCAAATATGTAAAAAAGACATATTGAAATACAGTACTTGTTACTTCCTTGATGTTAAAATTATTTACCTGAATATTTGCCATTGGACAGGCTATCTGGGTAATTATTGTCTACCTTACTATACAAGAGAAGAAATTCTAACTCAAAATGTTTATCTTGTTCAAGGAAACTGTTTTTAATCGAGAATGGAAATATGATTTGATTTGGTCACTCAGAATTTTGTATCCACCCAACCCAGAAACACCCATCTTGTAGAAATGAATGGCCAATGTATAATTTTTGTTTTTAATTTCTAGTAAGTCCTTATATCTTTTTGCCACTTTCCTATTATAGGTGAAACAAGTTGAAGACAATGGCAGTAATTAATGAAAGTCACCCCCAGGAGTTCATTCTACTGGGCTTTGCTGACCGACCTTGGCTGGAGCTCCCTCTCTTCATTATTCTTCTGATAACGTACCCCATAGCCATGATGGGAAACATCGCCATCATCCTGGTGTGCAAGTTAGACCCGCACCTCCAAAGCCCCATGTACTTCTTCCTCACCAACCTCTCCTTTCTGGACATGTGTTACACCACAAGCATTGTCCCTCAGATGCTCTTTAACCTGGGGAACTCCAAGAAGACCATCAGCTATGTGGGGTGTGCAGTTCAGCTTTATGTCTTTCATATAATGGGGGGCACAGAGTGTCTGCTCTTGGCCATTATGTCCTTTGACAGCTATGTGGCCATCTGCAGGCCTCTGCACTACACCCTTGTCATGAATCAGCGCCTCCGCCTCCTACTAGCATCTATCATGTGGGTGACTGGGGTGATATTTTCATTCACAGAAACCACACTTATGCTGCAGCTGCCATTGTGTGGTGTCAATAAACTGGATCACTTGTTCTGTGAGATTTCGGTTCTGATCAAGATCACCTGTGGTGAAAAGGAGGCTAATGAGCTTGCACTCTCTCTGGTATGCATATTTGTATTAGCTGTTCCTCTGTGTTTAATTCTTATTTCCTACACTTGTATTGGACATGCTATATTTAAAGTGAAATCTTCTGAAGGAAGGAAAAAGGCCTTTGGGACATGTTCCTCTCATCTCATTGTAGTTTCATTATTTTATGGGCCTCCCATCAGCATGTACCTTCTGCCCCCCTCCTCCGTCTCGAGGGAACAGCCCAAGTTCATAGCTCTCTTCTATGTAGTGGTGACTCCTGCCCTCAACCCCTTCATCTACACCCTGAGGAATAAGGATGTGAAAGGAGCATTAAGCAGGCTGTTGAGAAGGGCTGAAAGTTCCAAGCTTTCACTTGGAACTTGATATCAGTAAACATAAAAGAAATTTTCAGTTAGAGGAAGTTTGTTATGGGTTTGTGTAATAACACATTTTTTCTCAGAATTCCACATTTTGTCACATGCTATTGCCAAGTATATCTATGTTTTGATGTTTCTGTAATCACATCAGACATAGATATTAACATTTATTAAGATATATATTATAAATATATTTATTGAATTATTGGCCTCCTCTACAAATTTATAAAAATATTTTAGACAGTTAATGCAATCAGACTATTTACTGTGTTAATTAGTAAGAGAAACTAGTCATTATAAGAATGCACCACATAAAATAGCACCAATCGACTTTTTATCAGTGTCACTGAGAAATGTCAAATCACTTGGATTTTCATGTATAGCTCCTTTGGCATCTGGCTGCACTGATTCTTCAAGATGAAGCACTTTGTGCTTTATACATCATATTTGTAGTTGCTAACACTGCTTTGAAAATGCATTTTACATCTTGTTTTAAAATTTAATATGCACTGCTTTTTTGTTTAATTGAGGAAATTTCATAGAATATTAGAGTAGATAGAATAAAGAGACAAAATATAGATAAGTCTTTAATGTTATTTTCAGACATAAGCATGAGACTTTTGAGCAAATGAGGATGCAAGGAAATAATATTAATAATGAATCACAGCATGAAAGCCCTTCGGTGTATACATTGGAACAGACAGAAATCTTTTGAATCTGCTCAAAATCATTATGTGAAAAATACTGCATTTTTTAAATGAAGCAAGTAGATTACATTAATAAACAATATTAATATTATTTTTTGATGCAAACAATTTTCAAAATATGTCACAAGTAATAGAAAATTCTAATGTAGTTTTATAAAAACCTCACTCACTGGGAGGCAATCCAGGTCAGATGGTGAAATAGAATATGCTTCATATGACACTGAAAGTGAGAAGATTTGAGTTAGAAACTGAGTAGGACTCCACTGTCTATAAATGCTGCGCCTTTTTCTCATCCTTCTGTTGGTGAAGACATAGGCTGTTCTCAAGATATGGCTAATATAAATTATGCCACTATTAACATGCACATGCATGTATCATTGTAATGTGATGCCTTTAATTCTTTCAGTGAAATTCCCACTTTGAAGGGGGAAAAGCTGGGTCAAATAGAATTTGTGCTCTTAGGTTTTTGAGGAATCTTCCTACTGATCTCCATAGTGGTTTTACTTGAGATTGTCATTACTTGATTTCTGGATGATAATGGCCATTCTTACTGAAGAAAGATGATAGCTCAGTGTGGCTGAAGCTTTTGTACATAAACAGATGTTCTGGAATCCATATTGTTAAGTGAAATATGTTAGACACACAAGTTTAAATATTCCATGGTTTCTCTTATGTGAGAAAGCCAAAATGTAATTAAAAAACAAAGTAAAACATAGACAATAGGAAGTAGGGAGATCTTTTTCAAATGGGAAAGGGAACAAGAGTGGAGGGGGAGGAAGGAAGGGAAAAAATGTAAAAAAGATAAAGAAAATAAATAATAATAGAGCTTTTTCAGTTGCATGGAGAGTAAAACTCAGAGAAAGTAGCGAGAGATAGGAGGGGAAAGGGACAAAGAAAATTAAAACATGTTATTAAAACATGTTCAAACTCCCAAAGGTAGATGTATTCATTATGAACTGCAAACATGTATTAATAAAGTATATATGAATAAAAAGGAATTTTAAAGGGACCTTGCATCCTATAGATAAAAGAGAAGACTATCTCCAAGAATCAAGAAAAGGTCTAAGAGAATGGAGAAATGGAAAGGCAATGTAAAGAGAAGTATAAAGCACCTGGTAATGCCAACCCTGGGTCTTCCTGGGATGGGGATTCGGTTCCACACATCAGGAGAGAGCTATCAGCATCAAGAACACACAGCAGGCCAGAAGCTCTGCCAACAGAAGAAGACCATGGTTACCATAGGTTGGGATTCAGATGGAGATTTAGTCTGAAAGTGAATCTTTCTGATAGTTTTGGACAAGGGATGCACTGCAAGACCAAGAACTGTCTCGATGTGGGCTTCTTGGTAGAGACAGAGCTACTCTCAGGATCACAAGTCACAGGACAGGCACAGTTTAAGGATCCTGAGGATAATCTGCTGCAGTGACAGGGGGAAGACTGTTATCCTCAAGTATCCTCAAGAGATACTTGGGGAATGGGAGAACTGATTAAAACACTCTGACAAGTTTAATCAGAGAGGAGCTTGAGCTTCAGCATGGAGGCCAGCAGCAGCCCCCATCTCTGGTGAGGTTCAAAGCCTGCCCCATGTGATTTCTGAGGTCCCGGGTCTCAAGAATAGGGATGGAGCCCACTGGATCACATAATCGCTGTCAAGGCCTCCATCCATCACAGAGCTTCGTGATTTGTGTTTCTCCATTCTCTGGTCACCAGTTTAAATTAGATTGTGAAGAGTTTCTTTGATTCAGGCAGAAAAAACACAGAGCCATGGACTGGATAGACATCTCTTATTCTTGGCTAACACCAGGGCTGTCAGGGCCCTATCCATCCAGCTGCTCTTGTGGCTCTCAGCCTCTGTACACACAGTAACAGCCATCTTTCAGTCTCAGACCTTAAATGGGGTGGGGGGAGTGGTTACCTTTGTCATTTACACCAGGATGGAGAGGTGTGCCTCTGCTGGAGCTGTGATGACTCAAAGAATTCTGGAGCCCCTTTACTGCCTGGACTATGGTGGTAGCCATCCTAGGCCTTTGTGTTCCCTTGCACTTTGACACCTTCAGGTTGTGGGGAGCAAAGGCTTAGTGGCTATGTTGGTCAACAGGGCTGATGTTTGTACTCATATATCACAACAGCAAGGTACAGAAATGTCATCATAGGCCACAGTGACAGAATACCTACTGTTCTCTGACCCTTTATGGCCACATGTATAGTCACTTTTGGGGGCCAGGCCAGCACACACAGTTAGTCTGCCCAAAGCTTCTCTAAGTGATTACCTTAGTCATTTTCATCAGGCTGGAGAAGTTCACCTGTACTGGAGTCTTGATGTCCCTTGGCCTCCTGAATACCACCTTTCACAGCACGAGCTCTAGTTGGGGCCATCTTGGGCTTTCATGTTCCCCTGGACCCACTCCCCAGGTGTTCAGAGAAATGTCTCTACTTAGACCTCTGCTGTGCTCCTGGGGCCCCTGGAGTGAGTGGGGCACCCAACCAGCCACAAACCTGTCCACAGAAGAAAATGAGCAAACACAACAGCCTCTGGCATGAAATAATCCCTATTAAGATGACCTGCTCTGCCTAGTGGGAAAGGAGGGTCAGTGCCTGCATCCACATGGAGCAGCCTGTCCGGTGGGAGTGGATATAATGCAAGGAGCCTAGAGGTCACTTGCTACCTTCCCCTGGACCTAGGGTCTTGGAAAGGAAACTGACCAATCCAAACACCTCACAGCACATGAATTTTAAACTAAATCTTCCCCTATTTTCTTTGCTTTTTCTCTTAATCTAATTTAATTTATATTTTTATAATTTAATTTTGTGTTATTTAGTAATTTAATGATTGTACTTTTGTCTCTCATCTTTCACATCTTCCTCTTCTTTTTGAATCTTCTTCTTCCACATTTTTATATTTATTATTAATTTATAATGTTCTTTAATGCAGTAATATTTAGCCTTATTTTATCCTATATTATTATTTTTTTTCTTTTACAATCTTTACTTATTTCCATTTGGGAAGATTCTTTTTATCCTATTTTAAATTTCAGATAAATAATTTTTTTCATTAAGTTTATTGGTACTTTTTAGATATACAATGTTATAGTTGTTCATATTAATTCGTTTTTATTCTAACTCAATACTGGTTTTTCTTTGAGTCATTATTATTTCTGTGATTTAATTTTTTAATCTCTGAGTGGTGCTGGGCATCAGGCTTTCAAAAGGAGTGGAAGAGTCACAGCGGATGAGGCACCATCCTGCTGTGTGCATGGATCTGCACAAAATAGACAACATGTGGCAAGTTGGCTTCTCCAAAGTGCCAGAGCTCATTGGCGAATTGAAAGCAAATCTACTGAAACAGGGGAAGTGCCAGAGAGATAATTCAAAGGTCACAGGTTTTCAACAGTGACTATGAAGAAGACATAAGTAAACAGCTGAGTGAATTCAACTAATACATAGATTGTTAAATGTACTGAATGGAAATCTTGGGATTGAAAAACTCAGTGAGTCAAACAAATACTCAATGGCAAACCCAACCAATAGACTTGATCAAGACAGAATGTCAGAGCTAGATCGCAAGGCTGAACACTGGAACATGATTCAACAACCAAGTTTATGAATTTTTAGAAAGAAGGCACAGAGCTATAGGCTAAAGCCATAAATATATGTTCAGTGAAAAAATGTCGGAAAATTGCAAAATCTTGGGAAAGATATGGATATACAGGGGGAGGAGGCATTTAAAACTTCAAACAGTATGGCCAGAAGCAACCCTCCCACATTATATTATAGTTTAAATGCCAAGAGCACAGAACAAAGAAAGAATATTGAAAGTTGCAAGAGTAAAACACAAAGTCACTTATAAGGCCAAACTTATGAAATAACTACAGATTTGTCTGCAGAAATTCTAAAGAATTGGAATGGATAGATGAGGAGGGGAGGAGGGGGTGAAGGGAGGGCAGAGGTAAGGGGAAAAATGAGAATCAAGACTTGTCATGTAGAGGTACAAGATCCCAACAATGAATGTAACTGTACTGTATCCCTAAAATGTACCAATAAACTCAATTAAAGCTGAAAAAAAAAAAGAATTGGAATGGAATGAGGTATTTCAAGCCTTAAATGACAATAGCAGCCAAATGTTATTACTTTGGGGCAACCTGCTGGCTAGGGGCATATATCTCTTCAGTTATTTAGTTTAACATTCCACAGACAGCTTGGGGGGATTGGATTGGGATTGAAATCAGATGGAATTTCTCTGAAATGCTTTGAAGGTGTAGGTCAGAGGCAGTGCTCCATTTCAGGATGTTTGCAGTGCAAC